TTACGTTACTTTACTTACTTACTACTACTACTACTCTCTCTCTCTCTCTCTCTCTCTCTCTCTCTCTCTCTCTCTCTCTCGTTGATACTAGAGCTGTGTGAAACTTGGCCATTTCTATTCATGATCTTCAATTCATAGGGTCTGGTTCTCGTTCACACTAAGGCCCCTCATCATATTACCAGAGCAGCAAATTACATTTTCACTCACTTTACATGTAAAAGGGGCATTCATGTAAATGAGAATCACACAAGCCTCACCCAGTGATTCCTGCATCGAGCCCGGCAGCTTGCGGTTGAAGTCGAGTGTATCTTTGAGGAGACGTCCAGCTTAGATTATAGACCCAAAGCATTATGTGGCGCATTGCATTATTCTAACAGTGGGATGTATGGATCCTTTGAAATTGCAAAGACTTCTTACAATTGTGCTCTTTGCTAATTGCATTGACTTTCCTGCTGCCCGATTGGACTCTACATGGTGATGGCTTGACCTGTAGTCCTTAAACTGATATATCAAAGAGAATTGCCCAAATGAGCCACTAGTGAACTGTAAGCCAGTTTATCATCTGTGTAGCTGGAATCCCACAATGTGCAAACTGTGTGACCACCCGGAGACTAAAGCACTGGCCTGGAACTCAGAAACCCGGGCTTCTATTTCTGGTTCTGCTGCTGGGTGATCCTGAGCAAGTCACCTCACCTTGCTATGCCTCCATTTCCCCATCTGTAAAACAAGAGCTAGTGATAGTAACCTCCTTTGTCAAGAACTTTGAGATCTACTTGAGGAAAGTGCTATAAAAAGCTAGGCTTATTATTACTTGATGTGATGTGCAACAGCTCAGTTAAAAGAAAAATAACTGAGTGGTTACACATGACTTCTGCAGCTGTTCTCATGGGGTAGCTCTAATGTTTGATGGCCTTATTCAAATCTAGGCAAATCCCTAACTTCCTTGGTTTGACTATGGTGACCATACTAGTAACCCAAGCAGGTGGAATGTGTGTTCACTCAGTCGCATTTAATTTTACTGCCTGACCAAGTTCCGTTTTTACTTTATTGCTCAGTGGCAGTGCTAACTGGACTTTATATAGAACATGACCTGAAGATATACCTCACCAGACACTCCCAGAATCTCTCTTGCATCTTGTTCAGGTTGTGCACCCATTTAAATATATGCAGTTGCAAACTGCTCTTCAGTCCTTCTCAGTCCAATGTTTCAAACTCTCCGGAGTGGAATCTGTCCTTATGCTGATACACCGGGATAGCTTAGACCTCTGGGCTCATCATGTGTTTGCTTTATGAAGCAAGCTTAGAGATTTTTATTTTAACTTTGGGTGGTCACTAATATTTTTGTATCTGCCAAGTGTGATTATGTTGCACTCAACTCCCGCATCTACCCTGGAATTCATTCACTTTTTGTTCATTTATTTCCAGCACCACGAACCAACCTGTTGTATCAACTTGCTCTGTAAGGGGTCCATCAAAGATCATCTTCAGCGCTGTCTGTCCAGGAACGTATTTTGTTTTTATATGTCTTTTCAGGTTATGCTGAAAGCAACACCCTGTGCAAAACGGTCCTTGGGCTCCACACCTTCCTGTCTTGTGACTGCTTCCGCATTCACTGCAAACAATAAATCTCTGCTGTTTACTTACCTTTGTATTCTGTCTTTATGCATTTTTAATTAGCTACACTTCAGTTCTTTCACTGCTTTTTAACACGTTGAGAAACAGTTTTCACCAGCCTTGAAAATATCCAGCCCTTTGCAAAGTCAAATCCAATTCTCATAATAACCTTGCTTTGACCTATTTATCTATTAGTTATGTAATTTAGTCTTTAATTAGTATACAGTATATCTATTAACTCTTCCAATTCTCATGGCTTAGCTTTAATACACAGGCCTGTAACATAATGATCAAGGGTCTCATCTGGCACCAAAGCAAAATGTGCTTTTCCCAACTGACTTTCTTGCATGGAACATAGTGTTCCAAGAATTTTTGAATGGCTGCATGTTGCCATTTCAAGTCCCCTTTGTGCTACCACGAGCTTGTACCATAGCTCACCAATAGTTGGGGCCTGTCCCACGCAAAAGTGTGGGGAACTTCACCCTCTCAGATTTCTCTGTCATGCCACTTGCTTCCAGGAGAATTTGACAGTGCTGCAAACGGTACCCCTGCTCCAGATCTCTCCCTGGTGCCCTTCTAATCTGCAGGATGGAGGTAGCTTCATTTGAGGCAAAGATTCCCTTCGAGACCATGCAATAAAGATGTGACACGCGGGAGTTGTGGGGGCAGGGTTACAAAAGGTTATTTCCCCCTCACCTGGCAGGCACATAGCATCCAGTCGCTCCAGTGGCTACTGTTACAGCCCATTTGGGAACTCCAGGTCTGAAAATTCCTAGCCTTAGACTCCATGTCAGATTTCAGCTCTGGAGTTATTCATCGCCAGGACACAAACCAAGGCCCCTGCAGACAACATGGCTCTTCCATCCGTAGGCCAAGTCCCGCAGCAGTGTGGGCGCCTACCCAATGCTGACGCTGCAGTTCGGGGAATACCGCACTGCTAGAGGGGCCATCCGGTCGCGGGCATGACATTAAACGGTGGAAATGAAAGATCTTGTGGCACTTCCTAACAGAGATTGTAATAGCCAAGGGGGTGAGACTGTAATGTCCAAGGCCGGCTGCATGGCTGGGGTTCATTGGCTGTGTTCAGGCTGAAGAAACCCAATTCAATTCACTGCCAGGAAACGGTCAGTGTCTTTGGGGACTCTCCGGTAACTTCTCCAGCTCCCACCAGGGGCGGCTCTATGTATTTTGCCGCCCCCAGCACGGCAGTCAGGCGGGTTTCGGCGGCATGCCTGCGGGAGGTCCACTGGTAATGCGGATTCGGCGGCATGCCTGCGGGAGGTCCACCGGTCCCGCGCCTTTGGCGTACCCGCCGCCGAATTGCCGCTGAAGCCGCGGGACCGGCGGACCTCCCGCAGGCATGCCGCTGAAGGCAGCCTGACTGCCGCCCTCACGGTGACCCGGCAGGCCGCCCCCCGCGGCTTGCCGCCCCAGGCACGCGCTTGGTGCGCTGGTGCCTGGAGCCGACCCTGGCTCCCACATTGCAGAGCAGGGAAGGAGACATTTTAAAGGGGAGTTGCATTCAGCACACCGCAGGAGAAGAGACCCGGCGTGGGAAGAAAACACAGTCTAGTGACGGAGAGGATGATGACGGTGATTGATTTGTATTCCAGTAGGGCCTAGAGGCCCAAGCCCCGTTGTGTTGGGCCATGGGCAAACAGGGAACAGAAAGGGGAGCCCTGCCCCAAGGATTTTACAGCCTGCATGAAACAGAGTCCTGGGGGGGATGCATTAGCGCGGGGAGCTGCATTGAAGACAGCCCAGTAGGGTGACCAGCAGGGCCGCCGAGCGCAGGTTCGGGCCCTGGTGAAAAAAAATTTTTGGCCCCCCAGCAAGGGCGGACCGGCTAAAAATCTTTACCCATACGCAACATAGTTGGGCCCCCTTCCGGACCCCGGGAATTTGTACCGGCTTTCCCCGCCCTCGTCGGCCCAGTGTGAAAAATCGGGATGGGGGTGGGGAGGGGGGTAAGATATCCCCCAAAGCCCCAAATGTGGGGACAGTCCCTATAAAAACAGGGGAAGGCACTGTGCCCCAGGGTGGGGGGAGTGGATGGCCCAGGCCAGGCTGGCCCGGCCGAGGGAGGGAGGGCGGCAGTGGCTGACCCCGGGCCCGGGAGCCGGCGAAGCAGCGTCAGAGGCGAACGCAAGGGGGTGTTTGCGGGCGGGCGGGCAGCGGCGGCGCAGCCGGCGAGCTGCGGCAGTGACTCGGCGGCGGGGAGGCTGCGGGAGCGGCGCGCACACGGGCTCCGGGCAGGGCGGGCGATGCAGCAGCAGCGGGAACAGCAGCAGCAGGTGGTGCTGATCAGCCGCAGGACAGGCGCCCGCAGCCGCCATTAAACAATAGGAGCCGCCGCCGCCGCCGCCGCCGAGTGAAACTGCAGCCCCGGGCCGGGGCGGCGCAGCGCAGCGCAGCGCGGCGGGGGGACGCGGCCTAGGCGGGGGCGCTGCGCGGAGGGGGACAAAGGCGCGGCGCGAGGAGGCGGCGGCGGGGCGCCCAGTGCCCGGGAGGAGCAGGCGGGTCCCGGCCCAGGCACCAGCAGCAGCCGCCGGAGCCGAGCCCGAGCCCGAGCCTGACATGATGTTTCCGCAAAGCCGGCACTCGGTGAGGGGGGGGCGCGGGCTGCATTGGGGGGGGGGCGCTGGAGAGTGGGGGGGGATGGGTGCACCGCAGTGGGGCGGGGAGTGAGCGCACCCGAGTGTGCGTGGGTGGGGGCTGGGCGCACCCGAGTGTGCGTGGGGGGGGCGGGGAATGCGTGGGGGGCGCACCCGAGTGTGCGTGGGTGGGGACTGGGCGCACCCGAGTGTGCGTGGGGGGGCGGGAATGCGTGGGGGCGCACCCGGAGTGTGCGTGGGGGGGGACT